TCCCTTCCCCCCCCCCCCATAAAAAATAAAAAGGGGAGTCCATGCATGGACTTCACTAGACCTCTGAAGGTATGCTGTGGTATCTGGCACCAAGCCATCCGTAGCAGGCCATTTAAGTCCGGTAAGTTGCAAGATGGGGCCTCCATGGATCAGACTTTTTTTTTTCCAGAACATCCTGCAGATGCTCAATTGGATTGAGATCTGGAGAATTTAGAGGCCAAGTCAACACCTCAAACTCATTGTGTTTCTGAAACCATCCTTGAACCATTTTTGCAGTGTGGCAGAGCGCATCATCCTGTTGAAGGAGGTCACTGTCATCAGGGAATTCCATTTCCAATAAGGGGTGTACTTGGTCAACAACAATGTTTAGGTAGGTGGTACATGTCAACGTAACATCCACATGAATGGCAGGACCCAAGGTTTCCCAGCAGAAGATTGCCTATAGCATCACTCTACCTCTGCCAGCTTGCCTTTATCGCTTGGTGCACCATGGTGTCATCTCTTTCCCAGGCAAGCGACACACACGCACCTGGCCATCCACATGATGTAAAAGAAAACAGGATTCATCAGACTGGGCCACCTTCTTCCATTGCTCCATGGTCCAGTTCTGATGCTCATGTGCCCATTGTAGGAGCTTTTGGTGGTAGCTTTTAGACACTGGTAAGCAGAGGCAATGGGCACCCTGACCGGTCTGTGGCTACGTAGCCCCATATGAAACAAACTGTGATGCACTGTGTGCTCAAACGAAACAGTAGTATGTCATTAGCACACCAAGATCAAGTTGCCTGTTGTTTGACAAGATGTGTTTACGCCAATAAAGAAACATTTGGACTAGGGATTGACAGATGCCAAGTATTTGGATGAGTACTTCTACTCATCCAAATGCTCCCAATGCCTATCCTGATACTGGAACTTTCGGTATCAGGAAGCCAGGCGGCTAGTCATTATCCACCCCCTGGCTTCCTGATTGGTCAGAAAGCCGGCTCCATGCTTCCTCATCACCTGGCGCCACCTGGCTTCCTTAATGGGACTTCCAGTATTGGTATTCGGTATCAGCAAATAGCACTTTTGTTGGATCGGACTACAAGGGTCAGCCTTTGCTCCCCACGTGCATCAATGAACCCTTGGCACCCATGAACGTGTCGCCAGTACACGGGTTTTCCTTCCCTGGACCACTTTTAGTAGGTCTTGGCCACTGCATACTGGGAACATCCCACAAGAGGTGCAGTTTTGAAGTTGCTCCAACCCAGTTGTCCAGTCATCACAATTTGGCCCTTGTCAAAGTAAATCAAATCATTACGTTTGCCCATTTTTTCAACTTCAGGGACAAAATGTTCACTTGCTGCCTAATATTCATACACTTTTAGGTCCCATATTAACCAAATGTTATGGCTGATCGGTGTATATGAAAATAATATCCATCAGTATAGCTAGTTTTTGAGTTTATGCATGTCAGCAGAATGACCATAGCGATGCACCAGAACTGTGTCAGGCTTCATTCATACCAGAATTGCTAAGATGTGTTATTGCACAGTATACTAAGATCAGTGCAATGCTAATAAACGAAGCTGTCACATGGTTAGCAAATTCATACTCGTGCAACATGTTTACATGCATTGTGCAAAGGAGCAAGCAGCAGAACAAATGCAAGAAAGAAATCTGATGCAAATACACGTAAAAGCATATAAACCAAAGAAAAGAACAGCAAAAAACTGAAGTCATTACATTTATTTGTGATTTTCTTGTGTTGTGCTCCTACATGTTGTGAAGAACGTCTTCTGTATGAATAAAACCTAAAATGTTTTGTTTGTTGACAAGCAATCCAGTCTGAAGGATTGCTCACATGGCTGACATTTACTGAACCTGAAGAAGCGCTTAGGCTGGGTTCACACCTCGGCGTTTTTCAGCGCTGATCGAAGCGCTGAAAAACGCTCAGCAAATGAAATCCCATAATTTCCTATGGGCATGTTTCCCACCTGGGCGTATCTCAGCCCGTGGAAACGAGCTGAAAAACGCCCTACGCCCAAACAAGTACAGGAGCTTCTTTGGGGCGTTTTACCGCACGTATCCATTGGTATTCCCGAGTGTGGCTCGGGGTTAACAAAGCGGTAACCCCGAGCCACACTCGGGAATGCAGCGTAGGACTTACCTTGTCCGCGAACCCTGCTGTGTCCTCAGGCCGCTGCCCATTTCCAGGTTCCGTCCCTTGCGAGCGGCCGCACCGCAGGGGGGCAGAACCGGCGGGAAGTTTAAAAGTTTTTTTTTGTTTTTTTTAAACCCGAAAAAAGATAGAGAAAATAAAGGAAAATAAAATAAAAATCATACCGCCATGGAGGTAAAAAAACGAGCGTCGAACGCGCGTTTCACTGAACGAAAAACGTGCTAAAAAACTAGCAGAAAAAACGCGCCTATGGTACGCCCAGGTGTGAACCCAACCTTAATGGTTTCTGTTGGTACTAGTAACTTCTAAGGCAGTAAATTAATTTCTATAAGTTAATCGGCCATAGAAAAAGAAAAGAGCTAACTTACATTATTTGTCATTATAATTAATTGGATGTGGTGGCTGCATTCATTTTTTTTTTTTTTAGGCTTTGCTCCTTTATTTTCACCCGGTGACACACTTTTTTTTGTCTTGGGGTGAATACACTTGCCCACTTCACTGTTTCTCCAGTGTTGTTACCCAAGGCTGCCTTCCTGATTTAGACTACTGAATGCTCTCCCCATCTTCATAACATATGAGGGAGGTATTCTTTACCCCAGCAGTTAGGAACTCAAGCAGGGCTGATAACACTGCTTGGGATTTTACTGCAGTAGTGGCAGTGTTGTCAGCCCACTATTGGAAGCTAGGAGCTTACTGGATTTCTGACAGATTTAACGCTATTTTTCTGCTCTTCCAATGTTTTTGTAGGGGCAAAACACAGTGAAGTGTACCTGTATGGCAGAGATTTAGTGAATATTTTTTTGCCCGGATATACACTTTTAACTCTGTCTTCCGTTTGCACTTCAAAGAGCTGCCTTCTCTCCATGGGTTTATCTTCTCAGTGCATGTGAGAGGAGAGCAGAACAAATGAATCTTTATTTGTCTGCTGTCTGTAGAAGAAGAGGTATAGTTTCAGTCTACGGTATCTACATTGCTCAACCAACTGTACCACACTTTAGAAAGTGTTTGAAATCAAGCAAGGCGGTTATTGTTGTCTGTTCAAAATGCCTTTTTTTTTTCAAAGATGCTATAAAGGTTCCAACGTTTGAGGATGATTGTTTTCCAGGCTGCAGAATAAAGCACATACTGTTTGAGTGTTGATTCTGGAAATAGGCTGCATCCCACATACTTAAAGTGTAAATGAAATAATTCTGTCCCTTACTTTCAAGTGGCACCAAATCACATACCTCCTTTATGTGGATAAATCGTCATTATATGAATAACGTCCTTTTTTCATTTTTTTTCCAGGTTCAAGGTGCCAGTTTCCGAGGCTGGAAGGATGTGACTTCCATATTTAACAAAGATGATGAGCAGCAACTGTTGAAAGCATCCAAATCTCCGAAGTCTAAAGCGTAAGAAAAAACATAAAAAGATGCACGTCGCTTCTGTTCACCAAGTGTAAAGCACAATAACCACAACGTGCAAAGACTAGCAACCCACTGCAGCCAATCGAAAAAAATCCCTTAAAGAGAAACTCTTGCAAAAATTAGCCCTTGCAATTGGGGTACCCCTGCACTTGAAGGGTTAAAGGAGAACTATGAGATGAGTGATTTCCACTCAACTCATAGTTCTAGCCGACCTGTGACAATGAGACTGTCACAGGTCGGCTCAGTAGATCGGGAGGTGAGCGAACACATACCAGGTTCGCTCACCTCTCGATCCTGTCACGGCTCTCTGCAGTGACAGGGGGAGGGCTGGATTCCCCTCTCCGATCTGCCAGCGCTGACTGGCGGAACGGACGGGGGAGGGGGCGGGTACAGCTGGCTCTGCCTCTAGATAGGCAGAGCCAGCTGTCACTCACGCAGCTGGGCGAATCCCGTCATCTACGCCGGGATCCGCTCCGGCTGCGGCGTCTCAGTATACCGCGAGCTGTAGCTCGCGGTATACTGAGCTTAGGGTAACGGGAGGACGCTAGTTTGTGTCCTCCCGTTACCCTAAGGAGAACAATGGGGAAAAACACCGACCCCATAGTTCTCCTTTAACTGTTCGTTTTGGTCAAGTAGTAATAATAAAGAAAATATACTTAACAATCCTGCCTGGCTGCTAGGCCAGTCCCCTGTGGCCATTATGAGGGGTTTTCATTCTGTTGGATTTCTTTAATATTGTTAAATATGCAACAGAAGGTACTGGAACACTCAAAAATGGATGAAAACACCGAAAACTCCCAGGTGGACAGAAACAGTCAGTAATAAGGTCTTGCTGTTGGAGACATGTAGCAGAACCCATTGGGCTAACTCAGTCTATCAGGTTCTGCCTATCTATAAAATGTAACTTTTGAGTTGATTTTTTTATTGTGCTTATGTTATACATCTGTCACACCTGAAATGTAGTAGTATACGAACAGACCGCACTATCCAGAGAGTTCCAATACTTCAGACTTTATTGAAATTCACAGCAAATCCAGTATAACTTATTCATGAATAAGCCTACGGGTAATACATGTGAGAGGTTGTAGCTGGCGGGGTGTGGAGTGCTGGTATTTACTGCTTTATACACTTTTATCCACTGTTCTACTGGATTTGCTGTGAATTTCAATAAAGTCTGAAGTATTGGAATTCTCTGGTTAGTGTGGTCTGCTCGTATACTACTACATTACAGGGTGGAGACACTCCTATTAGACCAGCACCTAGGAAGTCCTAAGGAATTGGAGCAGTGAGATTTCCTTTGGCTCTATCAAACCTGAAAGTTAAATATTACCATTACAAATGTAATTTGGTTGCTTTGACCCTTAACTTCAACCAAAGCCAAAAACTGTAAATCAACCCCCTAAACTTAACCCTCAAAGTGAATGAAAACAATAATCTTTTCTTTCCACCGACGTATGGCATACGGCGGAACAAAACTGTTCCCAGCTGGCCACGTCAGTATGCCATTATGTCAGTGGCTTTTACAGTTCTGCTGTAAGCTCATGTTCTCTTTAGTGACCATGAACTTTATAACAGAACAGTTCCTCCGACAGTCTCCTTTAAATTAATAGCTATCAGCAGCTGACAAGCCGTTGATGAGAGCTATTAACAAAAATTCTGGGTGCCCCCCGCACCGCTGCCGGCATCTGCAGCCTCTCCTCCCTGTCTGGAGCCGCTCCAGGCAGGGATCTGTTTCTCCTCAGATCCCCACTGATCTCCCCTGCTTGTATGGGCTGAGGCAGCGGGGATCCGAAGAGAAATGGCCGGAGGAGGGAGCCGGAAGTTCAGGATGGCCAAGCGGTGTGCAGACCAGAGCCACCAGCTGTAAATGTTTTCCTATCAACAGTTTATGAATGAATGGGAAGCCTTTGTACTGAGTGCTTCCCATTCATTTAGAACAGAGGCTGCAGAAAAAGAGATTGAGGACTCTGTGGCAGCGTATGGCAAAGCATTGTGACTCATTGCCGTGCCTTGTGATATCCTGTGTTGCAATTAAATGTACACCTGTATCATTTTATCACAACACAAACACCAACACAGTGCACAAATGATTTTTAACATAAGTCGCTTATTTAAAGTTTTGCGTTCTCTAATTTTTTTAAACCGTTTCAAAAAAGGCGCAATTTAAAATTTACAAATATTTGTTATTTATTAAGTCAATACAGTTTTATCTTTTTAGATTCATTTGAAAAAGTGTTTATTTTTTATTTTTTGTGCAATGATACTGATTTTAGTGTGCTTTTATCAATTGAATTGTGTATTTTTATCGGTTTAATATTGATGTGGTAAACATCTGCGCAACTGTCGCAGGGCCTACAAATTTTGTACTATTTGTTTATTCTACCGGGCCTGTGCTTTCAGAAAATATATGGTTTGGGGGGTCAAACGCTAGCAACGCGGCATTAGGAAACCAAAACAATGGGCAAGAATTGCAAAAATGGTGTGGCCAACTGAGGAGTAAAACGTTCCAGAGGGCTTGGCTGTGAAAGGGTTAAGTATGCATATGATATCCCTGGTCGGCCCACAGGGATCCTGTGGTGCAGTGAACACTATAGTAGAGAGTGGATTACATGTGAGTGCCAGAGTTCAGCCTCCTGCTGAAGTGACACTGCAACAAGCGTACAGGCTGTCCCTGTCGGCCTGGGCCACCCTGCTGACCTGTTGAGGCCAGTGCAGGAGGACTGCCTGTACCACACTATCGGCAGTCCTGTCTCAGCTGCAGACTAGGTATGGGTGACAGTGAGGTGATGCAGAGCTATAGGTTGAAACCATGGCTGTAGGGCTATACAGGCCATCCATTTCTAAGCTGCTTTTAAACTAAAAATGTACTTTATTATTTAGCTTTTGGCTGTAAATGGCTCACCTATTTCAGTCCAACAAAGTTGTCTACAAACACACATCGTTTTGTGCAATCTGAATTGACCCAAGGTTTTCCCAATGGCAAACATTTCACATTGTCACTGCAGCAGATTGCCTATATTACAGCAACAAGTTTGCTCTTGTCAAATAGAAATGCACTCCAGTCTGGGCTATATAATTGTTTGTTTATATGGCCCTTCTCTTAACATTTCTAATCAGTGTTTATCCTCATTATTTACAGAGCTTCTTTGAAGACAAAAGAGGAAGCAAAGACAGAGAAAAAATCCGGTTTCTGGGACAGTTTGGCAATAAAACAGAACGTTCAACCAAAGAAAGCAGATGAGATTGAGGGCTGGGATCCCCCCCAGATAATGGTGGAAGAGGAGCCAAGATTTACGGAAGACCCTCTTGATGATAATCACTCCTGGCCTGGCTGGGAGGAGGAAACAAAAGGTTCATCTAAGTACACAAATCTGGCTAGTCCAGGGAATTCATCTAGGTGGAGTATTAAGTCAGCGGGCAAATTGGTTAGTATTAGGAGACGGAGCAAAGGTAACCTGACTGAGAGCTGGGAGGAGCTAGAATGACGGCATTGGCAGTTTCACAATATGCAATATTTTCAATGAGGGTAGCAGGTTTCGTAAGTTCCATGCTGTCGTTTTTTTAACAGAATACTCCCAAGTATTAAATAGCTATGTACTTTTATATTTATCTGAATCCTACACTAAATTTGCACTCGTGTTCTTAATTTTCAAATTAGAAGTAAAAAATAGTTCACATTTCTCTCTGAGAGCCCACCTGAGAAATGTTATGGTGGCATTACTTGTGCCTACGGGACAGTCCGAAACCTGACTGTAGTTGGTTTCACCAGAAACAGTAATTCCTTAGTGAATGTATACACTGGCTATAACTTAGACTGCCTTATACTGTTACCAGTAAAGGGTAAAATTTGCCTTGCACATTAACCTGTCAAGTGCCTGTATTTCACCTTGATAATGTATTTGTGATGCACAGCTTAATTTATTAATAAGTTAATTTTACCTGTTTCTGTTGCTTTTTTGAAAGGATATTGTTGTTTTTAAAAGCTAGACTTTGTAGGATGACATTTAAGTATGTGTTTTGTGTTGAATTTTCTTTTCAGCTAGCTGAACTTAATTTCTCCAGCCAGTAAAGTACACAGTGTACTTCACATTAGACTATTGTGTTATGCCTACTTGCATAATATCTGTATTAAACTGACCCTGTAAATCAGGTTTTGACAACCTTTTGCTTTTCAGGTGTCTTGAAACAATAAGGCTCAGTTGGGCTATTTTAAAGAAATGGAGGAAAGTGTGTTACCTGTTGCATACATTCAGATGCTACAGTTCTAATACAAATAAAGTCTGTGAAAAAAAATACATGCAGGTATCTGGTAGCCATGGACAACTCAGATGTTCTTTGTACAGTTTTTATTAAACTGTCTTGCCGTTCTCTGCTATCTAGTGGTAAAAAGCAGAAGACGGAGTCTCAGTCTTAAAGTGAACCTGTGCCAAGACTATGCACATTAAAGTATTTATATATTTTGAACAAGCATTGAAAGCAGTTTAAAACAAGACATTATGTAGCTCTAACTCTAGGCATTGTGGAACATTTCATTTTCAAAGTTCAGAACAGAGGCACTGAAATCTAAGCTCATTTCATAGGAGAGTAGAATCTTGGCAGCCTGCCAGCCTTCTAATGTAAACACATAGCATGTGTTTCTAAGCTGTTAGAAACTGACTGAAACTGGACTTTATGTTCTCTGTTGTGACCCTTGAGGATGAATTACTTCATAATACAAGCAGAGAGTTGAGTAAAGGCTTTTTTTTACATCTCTTTTACTACATGTTAAGAATATGAAAATATTTTAATGTCTATAGTCTGGGCACAGCTGCACTCACTTTTAAGTCTGTAATAACTATATCTTCTCCTGTATACAATGCGTATAGATGTGCTGGTTCTGCATCTGTTTCTGCAGCCTATGCAAGAGCAATAAGATAATCAATGCGGTCGTGACCATGAGTTATGAACTCACAGGCTTCTTCAGTATGGCAAATAGTAATGATTGGCAATGTTAATCCATAGCAGCCAATCAAAATTCATGTTTCACTGAACTGACTACAGTAGACTGCTTGGTTGCTTTAGGTTACTGACAGTTGGCCATTATTATAGCTGTTTGTACTGCACTGAACAAGTCCATGAGTCTCATAGCACCTCTAAGAAGATGGTCACCTTGGCCCATTGAAAAAATAGCCCTTCCTGCAACGTGCATTAAAAGCATCAGAACGTGATAGTTCTAGAAATACCAGAGAGCCACTGAATGTCTACCTCTGCTGTAGACCAAAAAGTCAGAGGATTTTTATTGTGTTTTTGTCTCATATTATGTAAGAGAATAAAGTTTCTTTTTTCCTGCATGTGAGACTCCTTTTCTTTTAGATGATATTTTTGTATATATAGGATAAAACATCTTTTTATTAAAATAAAGAAAGAGTACTATTATTCATGCTTGTCAAGATTGCTAGTTGTTGATATGCATGGTAAGTGACTGAGACTTTACCAAGGTGAATTTGTTTCAACTGACAAGTTCAGTCAGTAAGTCCATGCATTGTAGCATTTATTCTGTATGTTTGATGAGCGGTTTTGTTAGGATCAATGTAAGGAATTGAAAGAAATGTTCTTTGTATTTTTTTTTTCATCTTGAATAAAGAATCCAGTTGCACCAAGAACAGCTTCATTTTTACTGTGTATTCATTGTTGTAACTTGGG